AAATCCAAGCTCTCATAAAACACAAAATAAAACAATCATCTTCGAGTTCAAAAGTTAGTATTTCATTTGCTACGATTTACTACTTGAAAAGACTCCTTTTTATAATTTAAAAATCTGATATGCTTCATTTATTCGTAATAGTCATCAACAAATCAATACTCAAAATAAAAAATTTATATAAGAGCTCAATTAATCTTGACTTATAAAAATTTAAATGAAACAAGGGAATGAAATAGCTAAACAATACTTTCATAAAAAATTGATAATACAAATTAGAATCAACTTCTTAAATAAATAAGACTCAATCATCTTTAATAGTAATACTGTTATGAAACAATAAAAGAAGAAGAAGAGTATTGCAGAGAATAGTAGGGAGAGAGAATTCTTATTGATTTTGAGATGAATTACAATGGAATAGAACCCTCTATTTATAGGGAGAGGGTGACTTAGCCACCAAGCAATGAACCCTAGAATCTCTCTAAATATAGACATTCACCATAAATACAATTCTATTTATAACACTCCCCAATGTCTATGCCTCGTTAAAACCTTAACTAAAATAAAACCCAGTGGGAAAAAATTCTAGTAAAGGAAAAAGAGTACACATATCTAACAATACGCCTTTTGGTTGCCTCGTTAAAAACCTTGCAAGGAAAACCCAGTGGGACAAAATCTTGTAAGGGAAAAAGAGTACAACGCGTATTAACTCCCCCTCATGAGAGCATCACTTCACATCCTTAAGCATTTGCATTCCAATCTTGTGCACCATCTTCAAAAGATCTTTGGCAGATATTTGATAAGCAAATCAGCCATATTAACTTGAATGAATATATTGCACCTTGAAATCATCATTCTTGATAGAGATGGATTGTCTTCATATGATCTTGTTGGAATCGTCAGTTCAATATCTTCACATAGAGGTGAAAACTCTTGCTATCATATTATCATGCATATAGTTATAGCAAGATACATTTGTGCACAAATTGCACTGAGGATGTAGTACTTCATGACCATGAATTCTATATGCTTTAAGCAATTTAAATCCTTCAGGGATTGTTAAGTCATATAAGCCATATAATAGACTTTAGATGCATATCAAGTTTTCATGTCATGCTAGACATATAAGATATCGAAAACTGATTGCACATACCATTGACTTTATACTTTCAAGTGTTTGAACTACATGCATGTTCAAAACTACATGTCTTTCATATGAAACCAATTCTATTCGAAATTGTTTCACCAGACTTAAGATCCTCATATATATATTTAGCGGTATCATAGATGTCGTCGACGAACATTTTATATCGCTTTCAACATTTTTAATAAAGACATAACATAGAGATCTCTTAATTCATTTCAGGTACCTAAACCTCTATTGAGATTTTATGAAGCATTATGTCATGTGATCTTCTAGATCACTTGTCTCCTTTATTATGATCATTTTGATCATTTGCTCATCTTCTTTATCAAGAAGTTTATTTGAAACCGATTTGTCTATATGCTTTAAGCGTACCATAGACTTTGTCCTTCTAGGACTTAATAGGAGCATTTGCAACGAGAATATAGTTACTTTCTTTGGGTCAGCAAATGCGTCCGGCATGCATTGCAATATATTGCAGATGAATTATCTTTTATGACCTTCAAGTTCATATTATCTTATTCGAGGATCTAGATGTACAAATGATAATTCATTCCACGTAACTTTTTCTCAACTGTTTATCATGTCTCCCCCTCATGTTAGAAAAACTAACTTGTTACCTCAACTTTGAGAATTCACCTTTGTGCGTTATGGTGTTCATCAAAATATACACCGCATATCAATAATAATAAAATGCAATTATGGTCCCTGACCCTGAACCACTTGTGAGTGGAGAAAGTAATATACTTTGGTATATACTGTATATCAAACTGATATAGATAACTTTATTCTCATAAGCAATTGTTTAGCTATTAAGTGGAGGCACTCAATAAATCATTTTGCTAAACCAACTGTGATGTAAACTAGCTTATCAAGATGAACTTCTTGATTAGAAAATATGGAATATGCTCTAAATTAAATTATTGAGCAAGTTACCTCGCAAATACCATGTTGCGGGTTAATAATAATCGCACATGTAACCATCTCATAGATGCATCTTATGTGGTATACATGGCAGGTGAATGGGCCCATATTCACCTTTGATAATTCCAGCATTCATGGATTCAATACCAATTTTAGTTGGTATATTAATTAATGAGAACAGCCAACATAAGAGAATTCGTAAAGAACTTTCTAGTTCTTTAATATTTACCCATGTGAATTCTCTTTTATTTTTTTGCACATCATACTTAAATAGATATGGCTAAACCAATTATGCCAACTGAATAAATTACCAATATTGATAAACTTCAGCTTTACACCATGACGTGTGCAATTATGAATAAACTCCAAGTTTATTATGATACGGATTTTTATATCAATAAACTTCTACTTTATTGTGGTATTCTTTTGTTTGTGTAGTACAAACTGGAGAATAAAGCGGGTAGTTTTTCACATACATATTACCCCGCTACAAGTTATAGTAATAGAAGATATTAAATCTTTCCTTTATTTATAGTCTCAATATAACCAACCGCTTTCGCGAATACTTTAGAAACTAAATAAGTTTCTTTGAGACTTACTACGACAATTTTATTTCTCCAAAATAGTAATAATTGGCTCTTCCAGAGCTCTCAATTAATTTGGTACTACCACATATTCATCAACATCAATATGGTGAATATCTCTTTTAAAGAGAAAGTTATACCATTATGGTTATGGTCAAAATTATATACAAGATATATTTCTTGCATTAATGTTATTATTTAATAATCACATTACCAAAATATTTTGGCGTACAATAGGTACGTGACCAATGACCATTCATGCCATAATAATGACATTATTTTCTTATATCATCTCAAACCTCCTTCTAGAGGTGAGTGTGGTATATTCACTACCACTAACACGTTCATATTCTTCAAAGAATGAATATGTATTTGTAAACCAGATGTTGTCAAATTCACATCATGAATGGACCATAATCATCTATATGTGCTTTATAAAATCTCATGTCAAATCGATGACAAATATTTTTCACAAAGTGAAAGATTATTTTGAGAATCCTTATTGTTCTCATTACCACAAATGATGACGATTATAATTTCGTCTATTGTCCATACCCATTGATACATTCATAGTAATAATTTTATCTTCTTTCAGACTTATCACATACTGCTATCACATTCCCTTAAGGGAATGAGAATGGAGCAAATTCAATGGGACGGGTTTTCAATTCTTTGCCCACAATCATACATGAATTTGATCATGGCGAGGCATAAAAATTTTACCACTTCAGGTGGTTATAATTTCTTACAAACTCCACTAGAGTTATAATTAAACTTTGTTGTCTTTGCTTGTATTTAAAATCAAAAGTATAGAATAAAAGAGAAAAATACGGTAAAATACTTACCTTAAATCCAATTTAATCATGAAGGAAGTTCATGGAATAATTGACAATCATTATGCTCAATCCCAAAGCTTCTACTCAATTGGTTAGAGTCTCGTGCTGATAACGTGTTATGAAACAATAAAAGAAGAAGAAGAGTATTGCAGAGAATAGTAGGGATAGAGAATTCTTATTGATTTTGAGATGAATTACAATGGAATAGAACCCTCTATTTATAGGGAGAGAGTGACTTAGCCACCAAGCAATGAACCCTAGAATCTCTCTAAATATAGACATTCACCATAAATACAATTCTATTTATAACAAATACTACATATTACATTTCAAACAAAATGATGATTATATCAGGTCCAAAAAAAAAAGTTTTATGAAATTTTAATTCTCCTATAAAAGATAAGCATATTTATATGTTGATTTGATATAATTTTTCCTTATTTAATGTCAAATCAAACCAAATCAAATTCATATAAATTTTTTAAATAGATTCGATTCAATTTTCGATTAAGGGTATGTTTGGTACGAAGGAAAATATTTTCCCATTTTTCACTGTTTGATTGCACAAAATAGTTTGAAAAATATTTTCCTAGATATCACATTTCTCAAATTGGAGGAAAATGACTTCCCTAGAAAAAGTTAGGAAAACATTTTTCATAAACTCCACTTACCCTCACATCTAAACCCAACCCCCGCCGCCTTTTCTCCCTACCCCACCTCTCCCACCCCATCTCAATTTTTTTTTTCCCATCACCACTCACCCTGCTACCTCTCCCCTATCTTTTTTTTTTACTTTTTTTTTTGTATTTTAAAATTTCTATTTTTTCGTTTTTCTGCACCACCCACCCACCAACCCCACTGCCCCCCTCCCACAACACCGCACAAAAAAGTTTTTTTTTTGTTTGTAATTTTCAAATTTTTGTATTTTTGTTTTTCTCACCCCCATCCCCCTCCCCACCGCAAAAAAAAGTTCTTTTTGCCTTTTTTTTTTTTTATAATTTCAATTTTTTATTTTTTCGTTTTTCTGCATCACAACCTCCCCCTCCCAAATGTTTTTATATGTATATTTTTATATATTTTTAGTTTTAGTGTTTTCATCTTTCGGTTTGCATGTTCAAAATTTTACAAGTTTCATAGTTATGAGTTCAGAGGTTTATGTGTTTGGAAGTTTACGGGTTCGAAAGTTTAGCGGTTCGGAAGTTTATGAGTGGGTTCGGAAGGTTGTTGGTTCGAAAGTTTATGAATACTCTCAAGAAGTTATTTTCCTTAATTTACGTATCAAACACTGAAAAATGAGTAAGATTATTACTTGTTTTCCAAAAAAAATATTTTTTTGGAAAAAATTTTCCGTTATACCAAACACACCCCAGATTTTCATTTTTCTTGAACTCCGTTCCTCTATCATTTTCAATTCCTGTTTGGGCCCTTCTAATCTAGGAAATTCCAAATAAAAGACCGCTTCTGGTAACTGGTAATAACGACAGAAAACAAACCCAAAAATTTCAAGGGACCATATCATAAATAGTACAAAAACTTCGACAAAACTCGACTTTGAGAAAAAAGAAAAAAATAAAAAAAATAATCAGGAAGGAGCTTCAACGAATCCTACCAATCATTCATTCAAAATTCAACTCTCCATCTTACAATTTTTTTTGGATTATTTATTTTAACATTTACCAAAGTTCAACCGGAGAAAAAAAATCTATGAGCTCCGATCATCGGAACCCTAAAAATCGTAGCTGATGCAAGGGATAATATCAATACCATCATCATCGGAGCATTTGAATCGGGTCATTCATGGCCTTTTCAGTAGTTACTCACCTCCTGTATGGGCAACACTAGTTGCTGGAGTTTTCGTTGTTGTTTCTCTCACACTTTCTATGTACCTCCTATTTGAACATCTCTCTGCTTACAAAAACCCCGAGGTACAATTATTTCTCTCAACTCTGTTTGTTTTTTTCATTTCTGTTTATTTAAAAAAATAGTTAATTTTGATTTTTTCTTGGCAGGAACAAAAGTTTTTGATTGGTGTGATTTTGATGGTGCCTTGTTATGCAGTTGAATCAGTAAGTTAAAAATATATGTTCTTTGTTATTTATAGTGTTTTGTATCAATTTGGGTGTAGATAAAGTTCCTTTTTTTTTTTGGCATAAGTTGGACATGATCACTAATAGAAGTAGTCATATTAGCAGAGTAGGAGGGGGGTTTCCCCCTTTTTTTGGTGGTGAAGGTTCTGTGAGTTCTTCTGCTTCTCCACATTTTCGACTTAACTAGTTTTGTAAAGTCCTTGGAGAGTAAACGATCCAAGAAATAGAGAAAATATGGTGGATCTTCATTGCTGAATGGAAAAAAATGCTAAAAGGGTTGCTAATGAAGTGCAGAAACAGAGTGACATTCACATGTCAGCTTAAGTTGTGCTATCCCTTGTTCTTTACTAGTGGAATGTATCTTTTGTTATAGCTGCTCAATTCTAGTCTTTTTTTGTTCTTCATTGAGGGGAAGAAGGCTTCATATTTCAATTTATTCCTTTTATGGTGACATCGGTTAGGTTTTAAGTTTGATCTACCAAGGATTTCGGAGCACATTTTCTCTTTTTTTTATGTACGACCTACATGTTCAACTGCGTCTTTCTGTTGTTCTCTTACACATTTATAATGCATATACTTCTAAAGCCAAAAAAGTGGGATATGTCTTTTTATTTTTAAACTAGTTTGACTGAAGAGAATCACATTAAAGCACCAAACAAAGAAAAGTAAGGGCAAAGAAAGATAAATTTTATTTCCCAAATTTATTATTTTCCTAGATATTGGAGTAGTCAAAACTTTACTAGGGATAGAGGAGAACAGGAATATATACGGTGTAAAGATATCCATGCTGGTCATAAATAAAAGTTGATAACCTACAGGTAGCGAGCACTTATAAATTTGATCTAAAGCGAGTTTTCAAAAAAATGTTTGAGTTTTAGCGGGGGTGATATGTTCTTTTACATGGTCCCTTCCATCTCTTTATATATAAAATGACAACATTCATTAGCAAATATGTTTTGCTTTTGACTGCAGTCAATTGAATTGAATATATGAGACATATATTTGACATTGCATGCTACTATAGATTGTAAGTTATGAAATTTATACAAGATAATTCTCTCAAAAAGTTGAGTTTGTTACATTGAATGAGTTATTGATGTAATTGCCTAAAGGCATATATTCTATTGAATATCAGCTCCAAGTATCCGGTCTATCTCAAATTGGTTGTCATTGAACTCTGTTAGATTATACTTTGTCAATTTTCTGATTCTACGTTTATATTTCACAGTTTGTGTCATTGGTACATCCAGCAGTTAGTGTTCACATTGGGATACTGCGGGATTGCTATGAATCCTTTGCTATGTACTGCTTTGGGAGGTATCTTATTGCATGCTTAGGTATGGTTAAGTTTTTTGTCTTAAACTTGATCTTGCTAACTTTTATTTAGCGGTCGTTTGGTTCGTGTAGTTGTTATGTCTAGACAATAATGCATGGCTCTTTATGTTGTGAATAACAATATAGGAATTGCTATGTAGTGGGTAATAATAAGGATCAGTGTGTAGTGAAAAATAATACATGGAATGTGTATGCAGGGATTACCCACTTTAAGGACATTTTTATTATCTGTAGATACCCTTATCCACATATTGCTAATAGTTATATCTTGTTCCACATTTTGTTCCCAAAATTATACGAAGATTCCCTTATAAGTATGTTTGTAGCACCCAAGGTTGTGTCCTTATGGTCAATGATGTGGGTACAAACCTTGGAGTCAAGGGTTCAAATTTCCAGCAAAGACAAAAAACAGTAGATGATTTCTTTCCACCTGCCTAAGTCTTGGTGAGCAGAGTTACCTAGTATCTGTGCTGGTGGGAGATAGTAGGTACATAGCGGAATAGTTGAGGTAGCAGAAGTTGGACCGAACACCACATTATTTAAAAAAAGGAAAAGAAAAAAGAAGTTATGCGTGTATTTCATTTTATACCGCTAACCAAACACTGCATTTAGTTATGCGTGTATTTCATTTTATACCGCTAACCAAACACTGCATTTAGTTATGCGGAGATCCTTTTTACTTATGCGGCCAACAAAATGTCGCATTAATTATGCTGAGATTATCTTTTCTTATGCGACCAACCAAACAGTGCATTACTTATGTAGAATTTTATGCAGAAATTATCTTTACTATAGCAGCCAACCAAATGGTCCCTTAATGTGTAAATTCAGGGCAGTAACTCATACATTACAGTGTAAAAAAAATATGTGATTTCCTTTTACTAGCAAGTTGAGGACATTTGGTAGTGTACTTTTTTCTTCTATTCTTCTTTGATAAGAGCTCAAAGAGTCACTGAGGTCAATGAATCATTTGATTTTTACTCTCTTACATGTAACACATGGCCCTTTGATATAAAGGGTTGGCATGCCTTCTTGGCTGATGAACTTTTTAGGTTCTCTTGTATTTTTAAAAATGCCGACTGATGACTACCATGATTAAACCTGTGTTGAAAGTTTGATTCTACAAGTATGTTTTTAGAACATTACTACAAAGTTGCTTTTTTCCTTCTTTTCTTTTTTAAAATTTTTTTTTGTGACTTAGGTGGGGAGGAGAGGGCTATACTATTTATGGAGAGGGAAGGACGTGCAGCTTCAAAGATGCCACTACTAGAGCATGGCTCCGAGAAGGGGGTTGTCAAGCATCTTTTTCCTATGAACTACTTTTTAAAGCCATGGAAACTTGGTCAGTGGGTCTACCAAGTTATCAAATTTGGAATTGTCCAATATGTGAGCATGCTACCTGACTTAGATCTTATATACCTTTGGACCTAAAAGCTATGATCATCTTTTCCTTGTGATTAACGTGATAGACAATTCTCTTTGTAGATGATCATAAAAGCACTAACCGCTATTTCAGCAGTGATTCTTGAAGCTTTTGATGTGTATTGTGAAGGAGACTTCAAGTGGAATTGTGGGTAAGCAAGACCTCTTATTATTCTTGTACAGATCTAGCACTCTTGTTACGCAACTTTATTAATACAATCAGTAACTTTTCAAAAAATAAAAGACCTCTTATTATCTTATGGATAATGACTGGACATGCCTCGATAGTTGCAAGTTCCAAGTACATTTCTCTAAAGTAGGCAAATATCGCCCTTTATTAACACCAAGTTTCATGCCATAAAATTTTCATAGCATTCATGTGGTAGATAGTCCTACAAGCTATTGTAATCTGGAAGAATTTTCAGTACTGTGCTATGACTTATTGGGCTGATCTACGTGTAATTAATACTATCTCTTGCTTCAATTCTGCTTTTTTAGGTATCCATATGTGGCAGTGGTTTTAAATTTCAGTCAATCATGGGCGCTGTATTGCTTAGTACAATTTTACGCCATTACAAAGAATGAATTAGCTCACATCAAGCCGCTATACAAGTTTCTAACGTTCAAGTCAATTGTCTTCTTAACTTGGTGGCAAGGCGTGGCCATAGCTCTTCTCTGTAGCCTTGGTTTGTTTCGAAGTCCAATAGCTGAAGCTTTGCAATTTAAATCCAGTATTCAAGATTTCATCATATGCATCGAGGTAATTGTTCTGAAATTGGCCATGCATATATTTTTCTCATAGTGTACTGAATATTTGCTTTTATGATTTTTAGAATTTTACTAGTTTCTGGACACGCGCGTTGCGCTTGTATATTGGTGAGAATATTTTTAAAAAAATTCACATATATATATTTAAAAAAATGCGTTTGAATCATACAAATAAAATCAAACAAAAACTACATGTTCCTGAAATTGATCAATATAGGCTAACTCAATAAAGAAATTAAACCTACCCTACTGAGTTATTCAACTTTTTTGGGTGGTAAATATTAATTAAAGGGTGAAAAAACAAATAAAAATATTTCTAAATACACATTGACATGTCAGCCAAAGTCACCTAGTAGCCCCTTAGTTATCTGAGAGCAGACTCAGGTCCACATGGAATATAACTATGATAGTTAAATGCAAATACTAAGAAATCCGTTCACAATATAGTAACTGAAGAAAAAGAGTCAAAGAAAATGCATAGTCGCATTACATAGAAAATGTCTTTTTTTTAACCCAAAATAATCGCCATCTGACTATTCGACAGTTTGATGATTAAGACATGTTAAAACAGAGAACACCATCTATTATCTTGGTTGTTTAACTGTTGAGATGGCAAAGATTAATTTGTACATCGCGTTTTCTCTATCAACAGGTTTAATTTCCTAACAACAATATGAGAGAACAACTCAACATGATAATAGGCAATAAGATTAGTAGCAGCTATGAAAACCTTCTTCCTCTTGCACTTCACTGCCATTTTCATTTACAAAATTAATATGGATTATTTCTCTTACTCTTTTCAAGTAGAATCATATTCATGTGCTTCAACACCATCAATCCTATCCTAAGATCTATCTTCAATTATTTCACGCTGGGGGAATTTCAAGAATCATTAAATTGCTCTATTTTCTGTAATCATATGTCAATTACATTGTACATATAGAAACACCATAAACTCAATAAACATGTACAATGTGAAATGAGTTTAGGTTTTTAGTCTAGAGTAGCTAAATAATTAAGTAATAAATCACTAAAATTAATTACTCCTAATACAAAACATCATATATGTAATAGACAACCAAAAAATCAAATAGGGAGTATAGCAACATTCATGCATTCTATCAAAAATAGCAAGGTCTTGTATTTATTCAATTCACAAAGTCCAGCACTTTTCTTGAATCACGATGTGCAAATGAACATAGAAATTCTAATGAAGCCCAAGTAACATACTGTTAATATGTATTATTATTTTAATTTATATGTTTGTATATTAATAATGTAACTTTAAAGAGCATAAAAGTCCATCAACATTACAATATATTCTTGTATATCGATATTTTACTTTAGGTCTTTATGACTTGAATCTATTTAACAATACACTGTAACTTTAAAGAAAAAAATTATGAAGTTCAGATAAACCATCAATAATGAGTACTCTTTTGAGAGAACCTATATAAAACTAAATAAAAATATGAAGTAAAATCCTTAAGAAAATAATGTATTTCACATGATTAACCCCAAAATGTTGAAACCAAGTTTAAAAAGGCCATATTAATTAGAACAAATAAAATTAATAAAACCAAATTAAAGCCAGGCAAAAAGATTATCTCCTTAAATAGGAAGTCCAAGAAACAAAATATTATTAGATGGAATGGAACGTGAAGTAACTTCACTCATATAACAGGGTTCCATAATCATTTGGTTGTACATAGTAAAATATTGGAGTTGTAATGAAGGTAGAGAAAAAAGAAAAATAATTTGGTTCATGCATCAACGAACATGAGAGTTCATGAGAGCATAAGATAAATATAAAGTTTGATTACCTGTGCTTCCGCAATAGGGGAAAAAGTACTCTAGCGGGTTGGGAAGTTTGAAACGCCTTTCAACTAAAACGAATTCTTGTAACTCCCCAGAAGCCTAACAATCAAGTATGTCTGATAATGAAACAAAAGAAAAGAGCACACGGCACACCACCGAAAGGTGCAAAAATTAGAAATTAAATCTAGGGTGCATGAGCAACGCTATTCATCAAACAAATCTTTAGGGGAGTAGCTTTTTGGACTCCACGTCTGCAGGAGGAGCTGCTCTAAAACATATCAACAAAGAAGAACAAATAAGCCTTTTGAGTTGTCAAACATGAATAGTGAAGCAGAAGAGACGCATAAACATTAAACAGAGTTACTACAATATGAGACACCAATTAGGACTGTTCGGCTGCGGTGCATGAATATGGAATAATTTATTAATTTGTTCAATAAAATGAGGAATGAGGATATTACAATTGACACCTCATTTTTAGGTTTTTTGAAGGGCAAAATCGTCACTCAGCTTTTGATGGATAAATTGGTTAATTAACTTTTGACTTGGGTGTTCCCACTTTTAGTATAGTATAGTATGATTTATTATGGATGCATGTTATGCTTTTAAGTTTTTATCAGTGATCTAGTGATGGTTCATATTCCTTCGACAATTTGACTTTGACAGTTTTTTAACAGCTCTGTTTATTCATCCAGTACAGATGGGTGTTGCTTCTGCAGTTCATCTTTATGTCTTCCCAGCAAAGCCGTACGAGCTGATGGGAGAACGCTATACTGGGGCTGTTGCTGTTCTTGGGGATTATGTGTCTGCTGACTTGCCAGTAGATCCCGAGGAAGTTAGAGACTGTGAGCGTCCGACCAAATTACGTCTTCCTCAACCTGACATTGATGCTAAGAGCGGAATGACAATTAGAGAAAGCGTTAAGGATGTCTTTATTGGAGGTGGAGAATATGTAAGTGCCTTTTTCTCTTTGCTAAAGGTTTGAGCTATCTTATATCTTGTGAATCTCCGTACAACAGAGTCAAAACCTCACAACTATGTATTGCTAATGATGAGATCTCAATAATCTTCTCAGCAACTGAAGTCTTATGTGGGTGCTGATACTCCTAATTGTCATGACAGAGAGTTAAGGATAAAAGAATGGGCATTCCAAGGAATTGATCCTATTGCATTTTCTGCACCTTACCTTTTCTGTTCTTTAATACCAGGGAATACACCACGATATTAGTTGAATCAACTGATGTCGTTCTTGATATTACCGATAAGTTATTTGGTAGTAAAGAGCTTATTTGCCTTTTTCAGGATAACTCAACTTTCTAAGATATCCTCACCATCCAAAATCAAGTCTTCCCTTTTCGATTAATGACAAGTGCAGGAGGGGTCCTAGCAATCATACCTGTGATTGAACTAAGTACCTATTTATTTTCAGCATCCATGAACTCTGTCATTCACTGTGGTCAAGATAAGAATATATGGTCCAAAACAAGAACAGGGGGACAAGGAGTGAACAAAGGGGAATACTGAATCTATAGTGCTGTATTCAGCTCAACTATGTGAATCTTGCCAATGCTACAATTTTCTAAAATGTAGGGAGACTGTTGAGTTTCCTAGTTTATCCAACACTTCCATCACATTGTTCTTGGGGTGGGATTGGATGATGTATTTTGCTTAGTGTCTGAGTTATCTCATTATCCTTCTTGGTTTGTGGAGAAGCGGTAGAATCTATTCTTGACACTAGGATATACTGATGAAATGATACCGGTCTTAGGGATGTACCTATGGACCATAGCTGGTCACACAGTCCCCAGGGTTGGGCAAGTTTAGGTTTTATTTTCTGGTCTAAGTGATAAAAGAATCATGATATTGCTTATATGGTTTTCTCAGTGCATCCGAATAATGGGCGGCCAGTCACTGTGATTACTAAGTGATTGCTCATTCTCTTTAATTAACCAGTTCACTGACTCGCTTGTTGGTGATGGTGACAACTGTTAGTCTAATTTATGAAGCTAAGAATAGTGTTCGGGCATTCTTAGAAAAAATGTTGTGAAATATATATTATTATTATTATTATTTCTGTTCCTTTTTATTTGGATTTTTCAAGAATTTTTAGTTATCATTTACCTTAATGGAAAAAGGAAAAAACATCTAAGTGAACTTCTCCTTATTTTTTCTCTCACCGCTATCGCCGCTTTTTGCTCTTTTGCTGAAAGCCTCAAACTCTATAGCTGAAGCCAAGTAGTGACTGATGTAGATAGGTATTGTTAAGGCAATTTTTACATTAGTACTTTATTTGGATTTTTTTTCCGGGTAAGAAGCAGCCCAACTTATAGTCTTAAACTAAAATCCAAATAACCAAACTAATTAATCCGAAATCAAACTCTAAAAAGACGAAACAAACTGAGCTTGTTTGATTTGAATTGTAATTTCTTAAATCCGGAAGCTTAAAATTAAAATGAAGAATTCTTAATCCAAACCTAGCTTCGAATGATCACCCCTATCTACACTTCTTTACCCTAGTTGTGGATGAGATAATCAATAGGAATACCTGAGGTTCCATGGTGCAGTATATTTAAAAATGATAGTGTTATTGATAGAACTCGTGAAAAATTCGGCTAGAAGTTCGAATTATGTAGAAGAATGGTTTGAACTAGAAAGGTGTTTTAAGATAATAGAAGTAACACAATATATGCAGACTGCAGTACATCAAAACTTCTTGAAGCTCGCATGCAGGTTTGGTTCTCCCCTGGAGCACATTTTGCTCATTGTCCTAAACTTCTACTTTTTTTTAAAAAGTATATGAATTAAATAATCTAGCTCCTAAGAATGGAGATGAAGTGAGATTAGACGAGATTATTTTACCTAATGTAGCCAAGCAAGATATTTAAACTGAGTCTTCCAGTGAGATTGATAGATAAAGATGTAGTACTTAGGATAATTGAAATGGAGAAGTGCTGCATGAACGTTATGCATATAAGAATATACGTAATTAAGTGAAATGCAAGTTATATAAAATGATTGTGAGACCAATAATGGTGTCCGTGCATGTTAGGCCTCTAAAGGTCATACCAATAAGATGATCTTTTAAGAATACAAATAATAAGATGGATGCATGGTTATTTAGGATTGGACAAAATAAGATTCACATCTAATTCGTATGTGCTATAATATTATAGAGGAGAACAGGAAAGAGGGAAAGAGGTAGATCTAATGATTTTGGAGAGTAGTAGTCTTAAATGACATACAATCTCATGGAATCAAGAAATTAGGTTCGATGTTCATCAAGAGTTCTTTACTTTGGCTACAGACTTGTATGTCAATGTTGAGATAAGTGTGAGATCCAAAGAATCTCTACTTTTAGATAACTTTAAATTTGCTTTAAACGATAATTAGGCGAGGGAGAGGAAGGCTTGTGATCTAGACCAAGTGAGGTGCATCAAAGATGAGAACGGCAAAGTTTTAACGGAGGAGGAACAGATCGAGCGAAGATGACAGACTTACTTCTATGAACTCCTGAATGAAGAGGGGGATAGGAGCATTGTGTTGGGCAATTTGGAGCACTCCGAGAGCCATTGTGATTTTAAGTATTGTATGCGATTTAGTTTCGAGGAGGTCGCTGGGTCGGTGCGTAAGATGAGCAGGGGCAGAGCGACCGGGCACCAGGCCAGATGAGATCCTAGTTGAATTCTGGAGATATGCGGGTAGGGCTGGATTAGAGTGGCTAACTGGGTTATTTAACATTATTTTTAGGACGAAGAAGATGCCCGAGGAGTAGAGGTGGAGTACGATGATCCCGTTGTACAAGAACAAAGGAGATATCCAAAATTGCAACAATTATAGCGGTATCAAGTTGCTTAGTCACACTATGAAAGTGTAGGAAAGGGTGGAAGACGCGAGGGTTAGAAAGACAGTGTCTATTTCCGAGAACCAGTTCGGTTTCATGCCGGACGTTCGACTACGGAAGCTATCCATCTTGTTAGGAGGCCGGTGGAATAGTACATGGATAGGAAGAAGATTTGCATAGTGTTTATTGACCTAGAGAAAGCGTACGACAAGGCCCCTCGGAGGTCTTTTGGAGATGCTTAGAGGCTATAGGTGTTCTTGTAGCGTACATGTATAATGGAGCTTAGACTCGGGTGAGGACAGTTGGAGGAGACTCGGAACATTTTCTGGTTGGGATGGGGTTACACCAAAGATCTGCGCTCAGCCCATTCTTATTTACTTTGGCGATGGATACACTGACGCGTCATATTCAAGAGGGGGGGGGTGCCATGGTGTATGTTATTCGCTGACGACATACTGCTGATTGATGAGACGCGAGCTGGTGTCAACGAAAAGTTGGAGGTTTGGCGAGAGACCTTAGAGTCTTAGGGTTTCAAGTTGAGCAGGACGAAGATGGAGTACCTAGAGTGCAAGTTCAACGTAGTGTCAGGGGGAGCAGAAATAGACGTGAGGCTTGACTCACAAGTCGTACTAAGAGAGGAAGTTTCAAGTATCTCGGGTTAGTTATCCTAGGGGACGGGGAGATTGACGAAGATGTCACACACCGTATAGGGGCGGGGTGGATGAAATGGAGGCTAGCATCCGACGTTCTGTGTGACAAGAATGTGCCACCAAAACTTAAGGGTCAGTTCTACAAGGCGGCTGTTAGACCGACTATGCTGTATGGGGCAGGATGTTGGCCAGTCAAGAACTCTCATATCCAAAAGATGAACGTAGCCGAAATGAGAATGTTGCGATGGATGTGCGGGCACACTAGGTTGGAAAAGATTAAAAATGAGGTTATTCGAGAGAAAGTAGGCGTGGCCTATGGAAGATAAGATGCGTGAAGCTGCTTAGATGGTTTGGGCATGTGAGAAGAAGAAGCTTAGATGCCCCAGTAAGGAGGTGTGAACAGCTGGCGCTAGCAGGTAGGAGAAGAGGTAGAGGGCGACCTAAAAAGTACTGGGGAGATGTGATCAGGCAGGATATGGCGCGACTTCAGCTTACCGAGGACATGGCTCTTGACAAGGGGGTATGGAGGTGGAAAATTAGGGTAGAAGGCTAATAGGTCGTCGTGTATTTTTCTGATTAGTTCCAGGTTTATTAGGGCTAGCTGACTAGTACATTGTCTTCGATTCTTAGAATGCCAGTATTAGGGTTGTTTTAGTACTATCTTCCGCTTCGGTTTTCTAGTACCCCGTCGTGTTACCGCTTGTGGCTATTACTTTTGCTACTGCTATTCCTATTGCTTTCTTCCATTTGTTTTTCTCCGGTCCTTACATTGTTGATATCATCTGGCCTTGTTGTTATTTACTTGTTCCTATTCTTCCTCTCGAGCCGAGGGTCTTTCGAAAACGGCCTCCATGCCCTCCAGGGTAGGGGTCCCCAGACCCCACTTGTGGGATCCCACTGGTTGTTGTTGTTGTTGATAATTGATTTAGTATTGGAATGAAACAGCCTTTAATAAAGTAGGTTGGATAGAAAGGATCCTATATCCAACTTTAACTAATTGGAATATAGTTGACTGCTGTATATGGTGTTGATCTTTACCTACTATCTTGTGGAAAGTAAAATATCTATCTGGAACGATTGGCATTCTTATTTCTTCTATCTCCCTCTTATCGTTGATCTCCTTATTAACAAATACTTTCTACCAGATAGTGAATGATTTGAAATTCACGGTAACCCAAGCAGTGGAGCCTGTAGAGAAAGGAATTCAAAAATTGCATAAGATCTCTCAGAACATAAAGAAGCATGAGAAAGAGAAGCGAACAAAGGATGACAGTTGCATTGCAACATCATCTCCAGCACGGAGAGTCATACGTGGGATAGATGATCCCCTTTTACACGGAAGCATTAGTGACAGTGGAACTTCAAGGAAAAAGAAGCACCGCTCCCGGAAATCTGGATATACCAGTGCAGAAAGTGGTGGAGAAAGTAGCAGCGATCAGAGCTTTGGTGGTATCCAAGTTCGTGGCCGAAGATGGGTTACTAAGGATTAGTCAGAAAAACAAGAGCAGATAATAATTGCTTTGAAGACTTGCAACACACACCACTGCCTTCAAAAATCTGGAGTTGTTTAGCTCTCTACTACATCCATTCTTCTGCTCTGAGGAAGTTGTAGTATTTAATTCAGCAAAGTTCATCTGGGCTTTTTTCTCTCCAGAGTTAAAGTGCTACATTATGAAAGCACTTGCAGGTTCATTCTCTCTTGTCATTGTTGTTGCACATAATGGTCTTCAAATGTTGTATATATGTATCCTCATTAGTATATGGTCCCTCATTGTATTGGGATCAGTTTGCCTCGTATAGAAGGTTATGCATTTAGTTTTGGATCTTCGGCAAATGTATCTCCTTAATGAAATTAACTCGATCACAGCCATTAATCTATCAGATGGTGTTTTTCTCCTGCATTTTAGTGATAAATTTATTGAAAGAGAGCACATTGCTTTGAGCTACGCCAGTATGTCAATGCTACAATATTTTAGCACAAGACCTTCAATAACTGACTTGGGTATACTTTGCAGAGACATGACAAAATAATCTAAGACCAACAACAACAGTTTTATTAATTAGTGCAAAGCTTCTCAAATATTCATTTTGGTATTTTTATGTACTCAGGCGCTACAGGTTCAATAAAGTGTGTATTAGTTTAGTTCTACAATGTATGCACACACAATTGGTTTTTCCCTTCAGAGCATATAGAAAAGGCCAGAAAAAGTATTATTCATTGGTCCAAAAAGAACTACACACAACTAGTTTTTTAGAAAGCCAACTAGTCTTTTCTTTTCTACGATGAACTTCAAACATCTTTAAATATTTTTAACAATTAAAATTTCTTAAAATGTTTTTTACGTAGATCTTAAATAGGTATATTTCGTCTTAAAAGTAAAGGGTAGATCAATTATTTTGAAAAAACTGACTAGTTTCTGACCAAAGCATGAGCTGTGCAAATAAGATCTTGACTTAGCACAGATGGATGTGGTTAGACTTTAATATTAAGTTATCTTGTGATTTACGAGGATAAGTAGATATGAAGTTGGCATTAATTTTCACATTAGTACAAATGATGCCAATATTAGCTGTTATAAACTGACTTGCTTGCCATACACATACAAACAAAGTGTGATAAGTCTAAGGTCAAATACAAACCCAAGTTTGTAACTGAAAACTAAGAGATATAAACAGACTTCAATGCTACATTATCTAGTGGTTTATGAAGGAAGATAACTGGAGATAAGATTAGAGTTATCATATTTTCCTGATTAAGACGAGTTTGAAGTCAGTTATAGATGCTACAAATTTCTTTTGTCCTTGTGCTCCCAAGTCAATAGTTTACAGGTAAAAGACTAAAATTAGTGTTCTGTGAAATTAGTAGCATTTACCTCCGATTTAATATATGGAATTTGTTCTAAAATATTTTACGATTTAAAAACAAGAAATTATTTATATTACTTTCTTTTCAGTTATATCCTTATTGTTGCGATTAAAGCTAACAAATTCTAAAAAACAAAACGTATTACATATTTTTCTTAAGGAGTGTGCGGAAAGTACAAACATATGTTATAGAGTAATATTTGACCATAAATGTAACAATTAGCAAACTTTAACAATAAACACCACCGGTGCATGGAATACATTGGCTACATTAGCCATGCTAGAGTTTATAACTGAATGCAAATGGATATGACCAAACTTAAATGCTAGATTATCTTTATATATATTTTATGATGAACTGAAGTTAATGCAAAAGTTAGTACCAGATTTTGTCAATTTGTCATTCCCAAAACAGGATAATTAACTTAAGTGTCAGTACAAGTTCTACCGACTTAGAAAAGAGTTCGGTGCTTTGAGACCAAACATCTCCCCCACCCCACCCCACCCCANCGTGTAACTCACGTGAAAAAAAAAAAAAATACTCCCTCCGGTCCAAAATAAGTGATTTTTTGGATGTTTTCACACAGATTAAGAAATCCAGCTTTTAGTATTAATTAGCAATAGAATTGACCATATTAACCTTTACTATCTCACATAAACACTCCTGACACATATTCCAACACTATTTACTACAAGGACAATGTAGAAAAAAAGTAATTAATTTATTCTTGAAATCTGGAAAAATCACTTATTTTGGACCACAAGAAAAAGATCAAAAAATCACTTATTTTGGACCGAAGGGAGTACTTATTAATTCTAACTACTTACATTAATTAAGTTTAAGAAGCGCTATGTTTCTTTCGCAGCTCAAGAAGTTTTATTAAGTAAAAAGAAGTTTAAAAAAATTATTGTATACGGAATAATATGCTAAAGTATTTGTAGTAAATTTTAGCAAATTAATGGAGTAATATTTTTAACATGTGCTAATTTTGAATACTAAAATTAACAGTGGTATGCAACTTAGTGCTAACATTTTAGATTTAATAGATATTAAATTCAAAACTTATCATTTTATTTAAAACTTACTATTACTTTTTTCACTTTCTATTTAAACTTCTTAAGCAATATTTAATGTTCAAAAAAATAAATTTCTATAATGTAATTATTTTTTATTTTTTTGTTTATTTAAATATATTTTTATAACTTGAAGTTGAAAATTTGACCTTTAAGTCATATATATTCTTTGAGCAATTTACATATAATTCGATTACTTCAGCGTAACAAAGAAAAATAGTTTTGTGATTTAATTATATAGTGGCTAAAGTTTATGGAGTGTATGTGAAATTGTGAATTTTAAATTAGTAGTTCAAAAATTCATGACTAAAGAATTTTAAATTAATAATTCAAAATTTTCACAAATTTAGGATACTTATTAGTCCTGAAATATGGTGAATTGACTAATTTTTAAAAATATTATAAATTATTATTATTCCCTCCGATTCATAATAAGTGGCCAGTTTACTTTTTTATTTTGATCCAAATAAGTATCCATTTATATAATCAAGAAAGAATTCAATTTGTTTATATTACTCTTATGTATATATTTATAAAAAGTTTTCTTACTCCTTATATTAAATATTTAATTAAGGGTAGTTTAGTAATACTAAATATTTTTGTATAGAATTTAATATTTTCTTAATGAGCGTGCCAAAAATAAATTCGTAACTTATTTTGAACCGAAGGGTTTAATATATTTAACAAGCGGACTTAAAAATGGCTATTGCTGCACTTGCCCTATTTTATGTTAAGTGTAACACCGATCTTGGTGCCCTTTAATCAATTTCTGAATATTTGCTTAAATAGTGTTTTGCTGCTGCAATGGTGATTCAGTCATCACTCAAGGAAGAAATATTTTGTTAAAATTAAACCAAATAATACTAGTATTGATGGCTTGTTGCTGCTCTTTCATAGTAGTAAATTAAAATTCTGTATAATTTTTTCAAATCATAGTAGTAGGGTAAATTGATGCATGCGTATATGAACTGTGAAATATGAATCCAGACACGTGGTATTAAGCTCTTTGATTTGAATTACATGTTTATTTATGGGGCTATGGTTTTAATCCTAAGATTAAGCTCAAGAATTTGAAATTGATGTGAAGGGTGTTGATTCTGTCCTAAAACTGTACTTTGTGAGCGTGAGGGCTACTTATTTTAGTAATATTCTATTTCATTTAGAAATTTGCTTACTCCATTATTTAGTTTTTAAAATAAATAAATTTATTGGTAGCTCGGGCAGACTCTTGGACTATGTTATTGTTTGATCAAATTGAACCGAGTATGTTTTTATCTTTTAGTTTTGGGAAGAAATCGATGACAGAGCAGAGAGTACGGTTAGGAAATATGCTTGCAATTTTTTTGGAATTCCAAAAAGGAAGAAAAGTTGATCTACAGAAGTATTTGGGTTCAAGGAAATTCGGATTTAGTTTGTGTTCAGAGAATCGATTGTTGGCAATGGAACTGGAATGATTTTTCCGCTTTAAGGCGAAAATGCAGTCTTTTATTGACAATGGAGTCATCTTAGACGCTTGTGATTGCTGGAATCAAGGTCAACGCAGTGACACCTCAGATAAAAGAATGATGTGTTCTTTGAATACTTGAGGTAAATACCTTGATTATTCCCTTTTCATTTAAGTAAGCGTTTCTCAATCTGATTTTTGTTTTGCTTGGTAGCTCTATATGGTAGGATCAAGGCTGCACGAATAATTTAGGCATTTAATATATATAGGAGTAGTTTTAGGTTTCCTGTTATGGTTGTGTTGTATTTTTGCGACGTTATACTGCTTTTATGATTGGTTACATATAACCCTTGTGATATGAAGTTATCGACATATATATAATTTTTGACTTATTTATTGCGAAGTGGGGGCTGCTTGTAGTGGACGGTTCTAATTTACTGACAGCAAAGCATGCACCGGAGTGAGCCTAGTGGCAAGATATTTTGGCCGAAAATGCCCGATATCCTCTATATAAGTTTCGTGTAACATTGTAACTTTTAGAAGCAAAATTCATATCGTTCTGTACTAAATAGGCGATTGTGTAACTTGCAGTAAAAGAGGGCTTGATTTCTCACCTAACACTAGAAAAATCAGCTTGAAACAGGTATATGAAAAAATGTCATGCTATTCGTTCTCTTCCCCTTCAGATAATTGTTAACTTCATGACTGGAATCGCTCATATGTTTGTACAGGTTCATTTTTGGTAGGGGGCATTTAGGTTTGGCAAATCTAGGCTTTTGCATTGTGTTCTAAATGTTGAATCCGGAAATGAGAGTCTTGCTTTGATTCAAACTGTTTGGATCTTTCTTTTGTCAATGCGTCTTATGATGTACCGTTTCTTTCTGTTTCAGGGTATAAAAGGCCTAAGTATTCTGGTTTTAGATACTAAAATTTGTCTTGCCCGCTTTTATGGTTAAAATTTTGTTTGAGCCTATTGTAAGCCCGACGCTATATATGAGATTTTCGATTGTGTTCATGTACTCTTTTAAATGTTGGCTCTTTCTAGGCAACAACTTATCAGTATGTGTAAATCTGTGCAAGAAAGTGCCGTTTCTGATCAAAAAGCAAAGAAAAATTTTCTGGAACAGGTAAAAGAGAATTGGTAATATTTTGTGCGCTTGTTGCATCTGTGTGCCGGTTAACTTTTGGATAGCAAATCCAGGTTGCTGCGTTGTTTTCAAATTTTTGGATCTCCAAATAAAATGTAGTTATGTAACGTTGTAACTAGGGGTGGCAAAATGGTTCAAAGAAAACAGTTAACCACCCATATTATCCACTAAAAAATGGGTTGGATAATGAACTTTTTAAAAACGGGTCAAATATGGATAAGAACCATATTATCCATTTAGAAAATGGATAACCAGTGAGTAACCAATGGACAACCAATGAGTCTAACTTTTACATTTGTAAAGCCTTAAATTGGGGGTTCCTCAAGTTAGGGAGACTAAGAATTCTCCCAAAAGTGATCATATACAAGAAAATATGGATAATATGGGTAATTGATCCGCCGGTTAACCCGTTTTTTATCCGTATTTAATATGGGTCGGGTCGGATAATTGATCCGTTTTTTCATTACCCGTTTTACCCGAACCATATTCGACCTGACCCGCCCGTTTGCCACTCCTTGTTGTAACCGAAGCTGCATTGCTACTTATTTGTCCATGTGTTCTGTGGATATTTTTTAGGTTTAGATACAAGAAACTTGTTAAGCTTTTCTTTTGGTTTATGATTCTTTTTGTTTATCTTTTAGGTGGATGCCTTGGATATGTGCGCATATACATTTCTTTTTCCTTTAAAACTCTTCTAAGTGGACTCCTTTTGAAGTTTGTTATTTTTATCAGTGGGTACTCTTAGAAAGTGATTATATCTAAGAATACATTTGCCTTGTCTTAGAAACTTTTTAATCCAAACTATGAATGGTAATTACTTAAAAAGTTTCCCAATCTGTTTGATCCTCATGAATTGTTATCTCTAAATGGAAATTTATTATGCTGAGATTATCACTCGAGGAATTCTCAGCCTGATTAACTAGAGGGAGGAAAGTTCTTGTTTTGTGCCTCTTGGTTTCTAGGAATAACATATGCTCAGTCATTCATAGCTTGCAATTTATCGCACCTAAAAATGTGCTATGTTGTCTTACAGAAGGAATATGTCTGCAAGGAAAAGAAGCTGTAACTTTAACGAAGACCGTATAAGTGGACTACCAGATGCCATCCTCATCCATATTCTCTCCTTATTGCCAACACTAGATTCTCTGAACACAATCTTGATTCGAAGATTTAATCACCTCTGGCCATTCATCCATACACTCACTTTTGATCAATGCATGTTTCCGGGGCACAATTGCGTCTATTATAGTCAAGCTAATCGTCCTGACTATGACGAAAGGTTCTTGAACTTTGTTCGTCATGTTCTTCTTCTTAATAAGAGCCCAACTCTTTATAAGTTCTGCCTTGATTTTCATTTTAGCTTATCCCATTCAATTCGACAAAGAGTATCCAACAGAACAGACAGATGGCAGTACGACTGTCTGAGGAGCGAGAAAAGGATGGCTAATGAAATTGGTACCTGGATCCAGTTCGCATTAAATAAGAATTTAAAGGTCCTTGACTTGTCTTTCTCTGCACATGGTACATTTGAGCCCCAGGCTTATTATGATCTGCCTAATTTTGTTCTAAGCAGTCCTTATTTGGTTGAGCTCCGATTGGCGTACTGTAAGATAAATACGAAAAAGAAGAGCGACCTGAAGGCTCTAAAAACATTTTCTCTTGATAACGTTATGCTAATGGATCAATCAATGGATTGTATTCTATCTGGTTGCCCGGTGCTTGAGGAATTGACTCTGTGGTTTTGCTACGGCCATAGAAGACTGGTTCTGGTCAACTCGAATTTAAAGACATTGGTACTTGGCATTAGATGGTTTGGAACAAGGATACATGTCTCCGCTCCAACTCTCCTATCATTAGAAATGTCTGGAACTGTGGAGGTGCTGGATATTACAAATGTAGCATCTATTGTTGAAGTGTCTGTCAATCGTATGGAGAAGTTTGACTTCAAAGAGTACAAGGATTATCAAGAGATGAGAGTACTCCTCCAAACAATTACAGGGGCCAAAAGTCTCAAGCTATGTTCCTGGTTTTCTCTGGTATGTGGCTTTTTCTCTTTCTCCACAACTTCTCCAGGTATATTTAAGATTTCTGACTCTATGGAGAAATAGCCTTTTAGGTGGAAATACTAACTATATTTATGGACTGGAGGGGTTATGGTGTTGGATTTTGTCTTAAACGTCTCAGATTTAGGCATCCGTCAATATTTCATGTACATTGTGCAATCAGTTTTAATGCTTTAATTACTTACCTTGTGGTTGTCAGCACACATCCTTGTTGATTAAATCGTTATCTTGAGTTTGTGCTTCTCTGCGTTTCTTAAGAAAGTTCATTTTAACTTACCCGAAAAAAAGAAGTTTATTTCAATGTCATCAGATTAAAAACACACCCTTCTCATGTTGTTTTCCATAAACTCAGGTATGGTAGATAAGTCAATATCCTACGTCCTATAGCAAAAGACATAGTCTTTCATGTAGAGTCTTATGGAGGCTAGACAATAAAAACTCAAGAGTATAGTTAAGCTGTCATATGACTGTATGCTACTTCCTCTAAGTAATTTAGATGTCTGCACTTTCATGGTTTCAGTTTAGCAAGCATTTACATCAAATTTGGTGCAATGCAGCTTTCTTTGCTATTGTAAGCATCTCTTTGATTGCATTCTTTATCATGTCAATACCTTAGGAATAAACCTCCTTGATTTCTTGATCACTTAGAAGCATTGTTCATAGTGCATAGGACCATTTCCTTTTAGACATAGTCCTTTTCGCCAACACAAGAATTTACTTATGTGCTGAAGCACACACCAAATTTGTGCATCGCATTAAATGTGTGCAATGCATCAAATGTGTTTAAGCTTAATCTGAACTTACAGACAATATCTTTTTCATGGTGTAGAGATGCACTATTCAAATAAATAGATGGGGAATACTCATGTTTCGCATTGCAACAAAGAATGTTGACCAAGGGCATGAATAGCCCAATGCAAAAATCTTTTTATTTAGTTTCTTTAACTTTTGTGTTCCCTTTATTTTTGTCTGCCTAGGTATTTTCTTCATGGCAGTTGACAAATCTACCAGCTCCGACCTTCAGTTGCAAGACGCTTCACCTTCAATTGGATTTTGTGAAATGGCACTTACCAGGAATACTGAACTTGCTGAAGCACTGTCCTTGCTTGGAGAATCTTATCATCGAAATAACTGCTTACTATGATTATCCATCCCGAGTATGGCAAAATAATTATTTTATTGCTCTTGTTATTAACTGTGTTCTTTGCAATGTTCGATTCAAACCTATTATCATGGACCCTAAAGATTTGGAAACATGTTGGTGTCAGACACACTAACCCGTGTTGGCATGATTGGGATATGTTGAATACATACTAACTTTGGCATTTTCCATCTTTTTTAAAATAGCGTTTTCAGATTTCATATTCAATGACCCTACAGTGAAATGTGAGTGTCTCTCTACTCTATGCAAATAGGACTTTTTTTCCTAATCTCCTTTTTACTCATTATTTGGGGAGTCCTGAGGAACTATCAAGTAGAAACATAAGACATCATGTTTCTTCTAGGTGGAAACATAAATTTCTGTATGGTTTTCTATGTTTGTTTCCCAGTAACCATAGATGTATTTTCATAATGAGTTACCCTAAGATTTTGCAGTTCCGAGTCTTTGTTAGTATCCGTTATACAAAGCTCGGGACAATTCTTAACTGGATATTTCGTCTTGTGCTTATTTTAGAACGCAGCCTCGTGGATTCACTCATGTGACTTTGATGGAGATGAATATTGGAATATGGTAGATACTCCTGTCCAGTGCGTGACTCATCACCTCAAGAAGGTGGAGGTAGCTGGTTTCGTAATGGAGAAGCATGTGATTCATTTTGTGGAATATTTGCTCAGGAGTTCCATGGTGTTAGAGGAAATGGTGATATTCGCGGAGAAACAGACGTGGATCTATGGTCCAATTACTCTTATGTCTTATAAGGTTCAGGAATTCGAGGAGAGGCTAATGAATGCACCAAAAGTCTCTGCCTCTGCTGCAGTGCTTTTCTATTGATGGTGAACCCTTCAGAATGATTTGCTTGGATAGTGTAAAAATCTTTTACACTGTTGGTGTTTATAAATTGAACTTATGATAATAATGCGCACAATAAATTGTGCCGTGGACCGTTTCCTAAATTTTCTGTAATAAACTGTTGAAGGGCTTTCCTGTTGGATGTTATACAGCTTTTTCTTTCAATATTTTCTTGTTGTGAAATTGCTTTTGCATGAGGTTCTAATAGAGCAGAAAGTTACGAATGGGATTTCTATTAGTTGTTCAGTTTTCTACTCATATTAAGAGTTAAAACTCACTAAGCAATATTAGCTCTTTTTTTGTTAGTTTTTTCCTATATGGTTTATACTTTCTTCATGTGTACTGCTTTGATTGTGGAGAAATTTAAAGTTAAACAGGCCACTCTGTTGAGCTTTGAACTCCACCTTGTAACTTAATAGGAAGAGAACACAAAAAATGAGTTGCTATCAAAATGTGGTAGACTTCCAAGCATTTCATCATTTCATGCTGCTTATACTAAGATTTTTTATGTTCTTTTAAGGTGGTTGCATCATGTGGTTGCTAAAAATGAGGAGTTACTGGAATTCTTATTAAATTTGTTATATGTAGCTTCATTTTATAGATAATTGTTGTATATACCTAAAATGAAAATTTTAAAAACAATACATTGGAGTTGCAATCAATGAAGAAAGGCAATTTAGAATCCAAAATTTGATCAGAGTTAGTGCACCAGATGATGTGCAAATTGTTCATCTGACTTAGGTACAAGGGCTAAAGACTACTCGAACTGTCTAGTAACTGGTTCTCTCCTAAGTTTCCCTCGGGATAGTTGGAGCTCGTGTGCAAGTTTTATCGCGTAAAGCTAATGATCAGAGGCATTGAGGGCACAACACCCTCGACCTATTCTAAGAATTATGGCTGTGGGCTTTTAATAAATTTTTACTTCCACCCCAGATATTTACTTTGCATCATTTTTCAAACATATAGTGTATACATATATATAAATATAAAAATTATTCAACATTAATATATTATATATACACATACATAATAAAAAGAATTCGACGAAATGATAGTAGATGGCACAACTTAAAGCCATGTGCCTCCACCACTTGGACTATACGATATGAACCAAACATTGATGAACTAGAACAGCTTAAAAAGGGGTTCATGTTTGTTTGATTGGAATATCAGTGATGAAACACTTATGAATTATGATTCTGCATATATTAGAATACCATAATTTATTTCATATAATGACTTTGTGGTAAATAAAGGCTACTAATTGTTATTTTCATTGACAAGAATATTGTCTGAGTTTGCTTCTTTGAACATTGCATCACTAGCCTCTTTTGGGCTTCCAGAATCCAAATCACAATGCTTTTGCTCAGATTTGATATTCTGGCAAGATGGACACAGGGCGATTGTCCTAATCTTGGCAAGTTGAAGATGAAAAGGTGGCGCCCATTGATCAATCTTGATTGATCTTAGCTCTTCCAACTCTTTCTTTAGCCTACCATTTTCATCATTCAGATTTTCGCAGCACTTCTTCAACAACTCACACTCCACTTCTGTTTGCTTCAGTTTAGTCCTTTATAACGCAAGAATAAATATTACTCCATAATTAAGAATCTAAAAAAAATAGCATATGAAATAGAGGTAATAAGTTAATGAGAATTACCTTGCTCTTCTATTCTGAAACCAAACTTCTACTTGCCGTGGCTTGAGTTTTAATTTGGCTGCAAGCTCTTGTTTTTGACCCTGCATATCAATCCAAATTTAACCTATCACTCTTATCTTTCACTTGTTAAAAACATTTTCCATCAATCTTTTTTTTTTCGAGAGCACATAAAAAAAAAAAAAGACGGGGAGTTTTGAAGCAACAATAAAGTTGTTTCCGTGTGACTTGTAGATCACGAATTTGAGCCGTTTAATCAGCCAATGATGCATGCATCAGGGTAGACTGCCTACATCACATCCCCTTGGGGTGAGACCCTTCTCTGGCACCCCTGTGTGAACGCTGGATGCTTCGTGCACCAGGCTGCCCTTTTTATATATAAAAAAAATGTAAAGTTTAAGATAATAATGATATACCATAGCAAGTGTAGTGTGCCGTTTGAAACTCTCTTCAAGCAAAGTGGATTGTTCTTTGGTAAGCCTCAGCTTCTTTCTCATACCATTCTTCTTGCTCTCATAATCAAAATTGTTGAAATTTCTTGGACTTATACTGTTAAGGGCTTGCCTTAGGTCATTTTTACAAAATTTTGAGGTGGACCCCTCAGTGTTTTTCTCCTCCATGTCACTAGAATGAAGAGGAATAGATAGATCTAGACATATAATCTTCTTATGTTCTTCTAATTGGTTTTGTTTAGGTAATAAATCACTTGTGACAAGTCCAAGTGTGAGTCTGGTGTCACAAGTTTCATTATCGTTTCCCATGGCATAGAGAGAAATGATATATGCAAGAGAGAAAAGGATGAGTGAAAGTAGTGTTCCTAGAGCAGGATCTAATTTATATGGTAAGATTAGGAATAAGTATGTTTTGTTTCAGAAATAATGAATGAGAATGTTAATTGTGTATTAATTATACAAAGGTCATTAAAGTAGAAGAAGAGAAGAGAGGAGTGAAATAATAAGCATTTGAGTAGTAATGGCAATTATGACATGCGTTAAAACTATGACTCCTCTTAGGAGACCAATAACTTACTTTGAACTATGACTTTGTTTGACTTGCCCCCCTGTTTCCCATAAAAGATTCAAAGGGCCTTTTCATATTCCAATTACTTGCACATTTGTTTCTTGCCTATAGAAACTCTAATACATTTATGATTCTCATAAATTAATAAGAAAGGATTCATAATTTTACAAAGAGAATCATGTAAGCTAATTGGCTGGTGATGACACTATTTAAAGACTGCCGTGAAGAGGAGCAAGGATTTCACGTTAAGTTCCTTTGGTACTCGGGACATTCGATAAAATTGGGACGGGGAGTTTATATTACACAATACAAATTATTATAACGCTCATAATAATAATAATAACAATGAGATAATATTATTTTCTTTGATATTCAATCAAATGTCTATAAATCTGGACAACCGTTATCTAAGTCACACATATTTAATGTAATTGTATTGCCCTAATATTGAGTGCGATCTAGACATACAATTAAGTTTGGAAGACAACTACTTCTCTTGTCGAATACCGAATACATATGGACATGCAAATAAATATGCTACCAGGTGAAGAAATAAAATTAGTATGCTACAAAAATAAGACAACAGTAAGAATATTTTGTCCAAATCACAGACAGATAAACAACGTCGTAATATAGTTACTCACCTGTCACTCGGGTGATCGACAGTGAAATATTAGTATTTTACGTGGCAGATTATTTCAACAAGGTCGTTGTAGTATAGTGGTGAGTATTCCCGCCTGTCACGCGGGTGACCCGGGTTCGATCCCCGGCAACGGCGTTTTTTTTACTTTTCTCCTATATTTCTTCACCAAATGCACCGGAGAGCGCAGGCTTATATGTTTAGAATGGGAGAAATTCAAAAATAGCCAGATTTACCACTGGTCGTTGAAAAATAGTCAAGTTTCAAAAGTCATCGAAATTTAGCCACTTTAAATCTGAGCGAAAACACTGTTCAAAATCCGGAAAAATACGCCCGCAAATTTTACGGGAGTTCCAGCATAAGTATGCTTGAACTCCCGTAAATTTCAGGATAACTATGCTGGAACTCCCGCAAATTTTACGGGAGTTCCAGCAAGTATAATTGTCCAGTATAATATACTGGAGTTTGGAGCACTGGTGCTCCAGTCTCCCGCAAATTTTACAGGAGTTAGCAAAGTATACCGGTCCAGCATAATATACTGGAGTTCGTACACAAATGCACCAGAACTCTCGTATATTATACTGGACCGGTCCCTATTGCAGCAAAATAGTGGCTATTTTTCATTGACTTGATAAACGCTGACTATTTTTCATTGACCAGTGTGAAAACTGGCTATACCATGATATTTTAACGTTTAGAATTGCCCCACTTTCTTTTTTACTTTTGACCAAAAGAAGGAGAAATTTTGCCAAACGCCTACTAGACGGGGGACCAGTATGAAATATTAGTCGAAGTCTAATACGCTAAGCTACCCGTAATTACGACACCAAAATTATTAATTTCTACAACTTAGCAACTACGATATTCTAAAAGCAAAGCAAAAAGAAAAGAGAGAAGGATATTGGAGTATTTTGATTTATACACAGGATTCCTAATTGGTGAATGTACTTACACCAATTAGTTTATATTTACACCAAATCATAACAGTAATGAATAATGATTGTGTACGACTAAAATTGGAGATAAAGTTACCCCTGATTTTCCGGTAAAGAAACAAGGGGAAAGCACGATTTGACATGACCTCGAGTAGAGCCGAGGGGTTCCACGTCTCAAAGCCCGAAAGACGAATGATGCACCGAGGCAGGATATGGTTGAGCATCGGGCCCGAGAAGAGTGAAGGGCCGAGACTAAGGGAAAAACGTTTAGTCACGATAAGCGGGGAGCCGTAATATCCGCCCTCAACCAGATGTTACGGCGCAAATCTCCCTCAGTATTGATAATAGGTGAATTTGACTATAATCACGCACCAAATAATCACCTTCTTGTGAACTTTTAATATGGAAAAATGACAACAAAATGCTCTTATTAGTGCTTTTCATGATTTGCAGGTGATATAGGTGTAAGGAAGGCTAAGGAGCGGTTTTGGAGTCAACTATTGATGAAAAAAGGCCAATTGTTGAATTTCCCAAGTATCCCATTCAAAACAGGCCAAAATTTCCGGGTACAAGTTCCACCGCGGTTCTACCGCGACCGCGGTGAAACCGCGGTGGAAGGCAGTTTCTGAAAGTTGAAGATTCCGCGAGGGCGTTTTACTCAAAACATCTTTCTTTCTTTCTTTTGATTTTTATGATGAATTCAAGCGTAGTTTATTCTCCCATATCTATGAGTAGCTAAATTCCTTGTCTAAGGCTTTGATGGAACCTATTGGGTGATGAACTTCTTGTTTATGTGAATACAAATTGCTAGTTTAATCTTTATTTGTTCAACTTCGTGTTCGTTGTAGTTAATTGACAGGATCCTCAATTAGCTGTACCTATTTAGTGTGCATAACTTGGAAAAGAGTGCATATTTAGGGTATTGTTGAACAACACCACTCCTAGATTATTAGAGGAATCTATAATTGCGGGTTTAAAGGCGGGATTAGGAATAACGAAGTCTTGGGTGCAATCTAGATTGAATTGTGCTAAATAAAGCAAGCTAGTGTATCTCGGGAGAGTGCAATAGTAGATTACTGTGATTACTCGAGAGAGATTTGCGGTAAGATTAGCGTTCAAGATTGATAGAGATGAGTGGGTAAATTTGTATGAGCATAAATAGGAGGGATTCCATCAATAGGGGAAATCATTGCCTTAGCTTTGTCCCATAATTGTTTACAACCTTATTAATTTAGTTACAGCCATTTAGTTACTTGCAAGCTAGTTATTAAAGAACACTCAACTGAGAATTTGAATGTTTGAGAAGCTGGTGCTGAATACTTGGTGGGTTTGAAGATAGCGGTTGATAGGTTAACTCTCTGTGGATTCGACCCTGGACGTAATACTCGGGTTATATTTGCAAAGTCCGCAGAGTTCTTTTTTAGAAGGCATAGTTGGGCGTGATCAAATTTTGGCGCCGTTGCCGGGGAGTTAACGGAATTATCAACTGCCATTGACAGAAATACAAAGATTATTGTTGTATTCAGTTTCTCTCTACCAATTTTTTCATTGAAAATTTGACGGTTGTTGATCTGGGTGCACAGGTGCATGCCTAGAAATTCTACAAGGACTGGAGAACTGCTTGAAGGACTCTCAGACCCCGATAAGACATTCCGGGAATTGAATCGTGCAAACAAAAGACTTCAACAATCACAACAAATACACCAACTCGAAATTGATATGGGCGACATAAACGACCCCAACGGGAACGTCAGGGATGAGCAATTGGCACCTCCTGTGCCTGAGGGTGCACTTTATGACTGGGCACAACCAACAGCTGACAATCTGGCCACTGCCATTATTGTGCCTGCGATACAAGCTGAATTGTTCCAGATCACAAATAACATGCTACACTTGTTGCAGAACAAGGGACTTTTTTCTGGGAATCAAACAGAAGACCCTCAGCAACATTTAAAGAACTTCCTGTCTATTTGCAAAACTCAAAGGCAACCGAACGTGACTCCGGAAGCAATCAGACTATTATTGTTTCCATTCTCGGTGACAGGAGCTGCTCAGGTTTGGCTAAACTCGCTTCCCATAAACTCTATAGCAACTTGGGATGAGTTGGTCAAGCAATTTCACAACAAGTTCCATCCTCCCAACAAGACCGCTCAACAAATTGATGAGATTGTGAGCTTCAAACAGAAACCATTGGAGACACTACACGAGACATGGGGAAGGTTTAAAGGAATGTTGGTTATGTGTCCCCACCATGGTGTTCCAGAGCAGATGTTGGGACAACGGTTTTACATGGGACTGTCAGACAGCTTGAAGAATATAGTTGATGCCTCGGCTGGTGGGGCATTCTTGAGCAAGACTTGGAGAGAAGGTCAGAATTTGCTCGACAAGATGGCGCAGAATTCGGGTTGGACATCTAGGAATGCACCTATCACTCCAGTGGTGCACTCAGTGCCTCTTGATCCTTCTAATACAATGGCTGAAAACATGGCGACTCTTTTGACGCAAATGAGCATCCTCACCAAAAAGGTGGAGGAATCAGGGTAGAAGCAATAGGTTCATATAGTAGACACTACCAATGGGGGCTTGTGCACATCTTGCATTAGCCAGCCAATTGGTAATCCTTGAAATACAGAGCATGACCATCATCATCAGCACCCTGAAGATATGAACTATGTGGCTAACTATGGGGGTCAGAGGCAAGGTAATCAGAACTGGGGTCAGCAGACTCAGCAGCAGTACAGGCCACCGCAGCCACAGTATAACACCGGAAACATGGGAGGCATGAGACCCCCCAACAACATGGCACCGTATCCTAGACCACAAGGGTACAACAATCAGCAGCAAGGGTACCACCTACCTCAGCAACAGCAGGGTGGAAGACAGGAAGACGGGTTTGCAAGGCTTGAAGCAATGATGCAGCAGGTTATTGGGTCCAATGCTAAGA